TGACTCAACTGGGGATCGAACCCATGACTTCTTGCATCCGAGGCAGACGCTCTAACCACTTGACCACCGGAGCGGTATAATAATAATAATAATAATAATAATAATAATAATAATAATAATAATAATAATAATAATAATAATATTATTATTATTATTATTATTATTATTATTATTATTATTATTATTATTATTATTATTATTATTACTATTATTAGTTGTATCTATTTATGTAAACAATGCTATGAGAAGAAAAGTTATTTGATCGTTTTTAAATAATTTTTTTGTTCTTCTTTCGGCACCCAACGCAGTTGAAATCATTGAGGAAAACAAAAAGGAAACGTGACATACTCAAGGTAATTAACCTTCACCTGGTGATTGTTTTATAATAAAGTTATAAAGTGCCGTTCTAACATAATTAAAATTTCAGGTATAAACAATAAGCGCCTATTCCGTAGCATACACACTCGACCTTGACCTTGGAAATGGTGTTAACCTTACAGATTCATAATGATGTCTTTATGATTACTTTGGAACTTCTTTCTTGACCTTCAGAATACAATAAACCATCAGCATGCTTCCTCTCAGGCCAGGTAGTATTTAAAAAAAACAATTTGAATGAAATAGAACAAAATAATCTTTACTATGCACCTCACACAGAGAGAGAGAGAGAGAGAGAGAGAGAGAGAGAGAGAGAGAGAGAGAGAGAGAGAGAGAGAGAGAGAGAGAGAGAGAGAGAGAGAGAGAGATTTATATGTTATTGATATCACACATTGCAATATACTCTCGAAGTACATGTACAACAGTATAACAAGCGGAAATCGGTGCACTGACGAGCCTCAAAACATGTGACACAAAAATGACGTCTATAAAATGTTGGAATTTTTGTACAGGAAGGAGGTTCATGGCAGTAACATCATGAGTTACCGGACATGATTGTCTATAAAATTGTTTAATTTTTGCCAAGGAAAGGGGTCCATGGGGGTGACACCTTGAGTTACCGCACTGGGTAACACCAACTCTAGTGACGCCGCTAATGGGATCGTCAATTTCTAAGCAAGATAGGAAGAATTTCAGGATGTCGACGTAAATGAAATTCAATTCATCAGTCTATAAACGTTGCTAGAGGATACAAATTATCTGGGACAGTAAACCCTACCTATCTGGGTTTTCTTTTCATTGGTGACAACCCAACGTTAATAATACCCTTTCGTGAGTTAACTTCTTCTACCCGATACTTAGGGATCCCGTTAGCTTTTGTTGTTTCACTTGGCAATTTCCCAGCATATATGGCTGGTTAGGATTTAGCAGTGTTATTCTCTGTGGTATCTCGTTAGACCATTACAAACACTCCAGGTTTTTTGTTTAAAAAAATAATTAAAAATTTAAAAAAGTTAAATTATAAATGATTTTTGAGACTATGAAATATACAGTGCATAAATATATAAATATCAGAAAATGAACTTAGATCGGCTTATTTTATTTTAAATGCATTATAATAACACTCTGTACAATCTAGTTAAGCAAATTAACCATTGTCTCAAACTTTTAATTTTATATAAATTCCATTTATAGGATGTATAATTACTCTCTATTTCATGATCTGAAGAAATAAAATTATTACCTTCAATATTTAGGACAGATAATTTGAAGCAAGGGAGGGAATTCTTACTCGACTATTATAACTTAACCAGTATTTATCGCATAGCACTAAGATTGGATGAACTATAATGTTTAGGTCTTCAGGCGGCACACCACTATTCACATTCGGTCGGCACAGCACTATGTACATTCTAATAAGGCATGTAGAAAGAAAAGCACTTTGCTCTAGACGGAATCCAAGAAGGTAATACTGACAAATGGCCAGTAATGCGATCGTCCAATAAATATTTACATTTTATGACATTGTATGATACGATATTTTGCAAAATATATTTATTATTATTTTAAATTCCTGCATTTCATTTTTGGAGGAGGGGGGTACTTTTGTTGACTTGATTTACAATTATGCTAAATATTTACATGCAATTTAATTACTAAATCAATGATGACACATCAAATTTACCTCATTAATTGTGTGAAATTCATAAAGGGAATACAAATAGAAGTTAAGATACTTTTCTCGATTTCAATTAATATAAATAGGGAGTGTAAAAACGTCAAAAGATCAAAATAAAATAAAGAACATAAGAAATCGATATCCGATTACAAACAGAAATAAACAAAGAAAGGATCTAACAAATGAAAGAAAATTAACAACAAAAACTGTGATTTTGGATTTAAAAAGAAACGGAAAAGAAGAAGAATACAATTTGCAGAGAGGAAAAAAGAGAGAACGACAAGAAAGGGAGGTTGTTTCATAATGCATAATCTTGGTTGATTTTTCTGCTTTAATGTAAATAAATAGCAGATACAAATTTATACTCAGCCATTATTTCAGTTTTATATTAATGGTTTTGGGACACATATCTTCAATTAAAATCTGTATGCACGTACACTTTGCAATGCAATATTGAGAACTTCAAATTAAATCTGAGTGCACGTACACGATACAGTGCACTGTTGACAACTTCAAACTAGAATTTGTATTTAAGTACACCCTACAATACATTATCAGCCAGAGAAATATTTAACTCTTGTACTGACATGGAATTAAAATACACTAGCAATTTGTACTTTAAAAAACAGTAATATCTGAGTTTAATAAATTGTGCCAGATTTGTATTGTTGAATCTCGTCATGTGGGACGATCACTTACCATATGCTTTCATGTGTTTATTCTCGTTATATGGGACGTTCACTCACCATATGCTTTCATGTGTTTATTCTCGTTATATGGGACGTTCACTCACCATGTTTTCATGTGTTTATTCTCGTTATATGGGACGTTCACTCACCATATGCATTCATGTGTTTATTCTCGTTATATGGGACTTTCACTCACCATATGCTTTCATGTGTTTATTCTCGTTATATGGGACGTTCACTCACCATATGCTTTCATGTGTTTATTCTCGTTATATGGGACGTACACTCACCATATGATTTCATGTGTTTATTCTCGTTATATGTGACGATCACTCACCATATGCTTTCATGTGTTTATTCTCGTTATATGGGACGATCACTCACCATATGCTTTCATGTGTTTATTCTCGTTATATGGGACGTTCACTCACCATATGCTTTCATGTGTTTATTCTCGTTATATGGGACGTTCACTCACCATATGCTTTCATGTGTTTATTCTCGTTATATGGGACGATCACTCACCATATGCATTCATGTGTTTATTCTCGTTATATGGGACGTTCACTCACCATATGCATTCATGTGTTGAATACTGTTGCTACGTGAAATGATTTTGATCATATCAGTAGTTCATGCAAACTTTTCCATTTTCAAACGTGACATACTCACTATAAGACTTTAACATGATTGGCTTTAACAAACTCAATGTCCATCCACACACAATAATATTGAACCAACGTAAGTATTAGCATTACGGTATTATTAAAACTTCAGGGCCACCTAAGATATTACTTTCAAAGAGGGTTAGAATTTAGTCCTAAGAAAATCAATTTATAATTTCAGTGTTCAAATTCATTCATTGTTCTCTAAATACGTTTGACTTGAAAATAAATATACACTTTTACGACATTATAATCTTAAAGCAAGTAAAAGAATAAAACGAAAACCAACAAATTTTGTAAAATTCAACAAACAATTTATTCCCCTAGAATACAAAGAGTGATTACTTTTTAGACAAACAATATTACAGCCTTCTACTTAATCTAGGTCACAATTATTACCATTTTCTAAACAATGATATATCAATAAATGCAATTTTCCATTCTATAGGACTCTAAGATCAGAATTTAAAGATTATCTTTTAACTTAAACTCGAAAAAACATTTTTGTATAATAATGATCTGAATATTTCATCTACATATTAGTTTTGTGTTATGTTCTTTACAAAATAATTCTCCCTGGTCAGATACAGTATGAACATGAGTTTGAACAAGGCCAAGTACAAAATATAAATATACATAACATCAAGCTATTAAGAAAGGCCAACAAAATATATAAATTAAATATTCCTTAACAGCCCTTTGAGAAAATGCATTCCACATGATAGGGTGTGGCTACCTGGCCATAGGGCTCGAGGAAGTTGAACATACAATGGCATTATCACACAACGGAGCTCAGCGCCTCTCTGAAAAAAAATATCGAGACTGTTGGCATGGTATTAAAACCGCGAACTTGGATTACGGGTACAACAAACTTCCAACTCAGCAACAACGTCTCCATGTGGGAAAATGGATAGAAATTTGAATTTAGTATACATATTTTGGTAAATATTGCTATTATTACCGTCTCGTTTTCCCTCAAAACTTCTCTTCTTTTACACATGATTGGGCCTCTGTGTGGGTGGGTGGGTTTGGATGGGGTGGGGTTATGTGTGGATATGGATTTTTATTAATATTTCAGTCATATCGCTTCGATATCTAAAAATTGGCGGTTTATAGTGATGTCTAGCACTGGAGAATGTCTCACCCGGTTGCATTACCCTGCCACCAGGTCGACCAGTCCTAACACTAACCTCTTATTGCTTATCCCCTAACAAGGCAGCTGTTAGTACCATAGTTTATAAATTTTTGGTATGACTAGGCCAGGGTTGGAAACCGAAACCTTTTGCAGCCGAGGGCGGGCGCTCTGACCACTAGACCACCGAAGTAGTGGCTTGGGCTTAGAGTACATCTACAATAATTGTGGTTATGTGTCACCAATTACACTTTTTTGAGGTCGTATGATGGATTGCTCGTCCGAGACATTTGTTACATTTCTCAAGGATACTATGCTTCTGCCGTGGATGGAAATTTCGTCGTTTAATTTAAACAACTGTAACAATTGCGTTTTTACAATGAAGAGAAGAAGAAAAAGACAAACAGCTACAAGATTGACAAGTGTTACATTTTAAGTGGTGGATATAATTTTTGAAGTGAGTATATTTTAATTTTTAAAGAAAGGAGGACTAATAATCAGAAAACAAGAGGAAAAGAAGGAGCACGGGGG